ATTTAGAAATAAAATTTACATTGTTGTACCCAACTTTTTTAATGTAAATGCATTTAATTTGATTGCAAACTATTTATGCAATTATAAGTGGTAGAAAATACAATTATCTGACTATTATCATGAACAGATAAAACCAAAATTATAATAATTTAGTAAAAAGATGTATTCTCCTGTACAAAAATTATTTTTTTAAACTTACTTATTTAATGATTATATATTTTTTTACAAACTTACATATTTAATGATCAATTGAAGTTTTTCAGTTATTAATTGTGAAAAAAAATGGAACAACCAACTGTTTCATCAATTCTATCATCATCTTTTTCGCCATGTTCTCCTAATGAAATAGCTATACAACCAGGAGATTGTGTTGAAGGTGGAGTTGAAGAATGGTTAGAAGATGAAGCATTACCAGGATTTCGAGTTTGGCAACTTGCTGGCATAATTCTTTCTATTTTACTTAGTGTACTCATTGGGCTTTGTTGTTGCATTCGATTTAGGATACCACGAACTAAACAAGAAATAGAGGCTGATTACATTCGAAAAAAAATAACAAAGACTTTCAGACATGAATTATCTAAAATCAGTAATAGAGAAATGGATGACATGGATTTGAGAAAAGGTAAAAAAGTTCAATTAAAACAGGATTTTAATATAAAGAGCATTTAAAAAATATTTATTCAGTTTATTATTTCAATCATTTTTAATACACCTACCTTTCCTTCATATTAGCATTAAACAAAATCCAAATTAAGTTTGATATGGAAACTTATGAAGTACAGAAGCGTCGTCAAGAAATAACGCATAAGAGCGTACAGCACGGATTACGATCAAAATTCAATGCAATGTTTAGTACAATTTATTTCATTAAACAAGAAGATGCTAATGTTGAGAGTATAATTTAATAACTTAATAGATGTCACTGTATTGTTAAAAAATAATAATTTTGGATTATAATTAATTTTTTAAAATAATAATATTATTGTTGGTAATATATCATTTTTGTTATATTATTGTTTGTTTCTAATTAAAGTTTGTAATAACTGATTTATGTATTCATTATAATGGAATTTAAAAAATATGATATATTAAACAAAATAAGTGAATTCTAAGCAGCGTTAATTGACTAAATATAATCTTTATTTTATGAATATAATACAGAAATTAAGTTATCTTACATGCAACAATAATCTATAGCAAAAGATAATACATTTTAGAAAGCACTTAATGGGATTATGATGTATATTACCTACCACATTATGTTTAATTTACTTAATTCATTAGCCAGTTAGTATTGTTAAAAAGTTTCCACAATCATTAAATAAAAAAGATTTTTACAAATTATATGCAGTCTAAATAAAATATTAATAAGACAAGAAGAAATCACAGTACAAATCTTATGTTGTCATTAATAATTAAGAATTATTATTATGTTTAGTTTAAATGATATTGAAATGTTAATGCTAATACATTTATGAAGTAAAACCATCTCATATATATAAGTAACAAAATTTTTAAATAAGCTATAATTCTTATTGTCTCCCTCTTTCTTTCTCTCTCCTTGAAAACAAACATCTTACTCTTACTCTTACATCTGGATAATTATGAAATTGTTCATCAATTACTCAGTATTGTAAAATAAAAGTTAATAGCATACAGATGTTTATAAAAAGTATTTATTACTTAACAAATAAAATGAATAATATAATTGCAAAACTAAACTAGATGTAGTTTACATATGGATTTTTTAAACTGATTTTACAAGTGACAAAATTTGAAATTAGAAAAGAAAAAATAATTATTTTAATAAAAATTTAAGTAATTTAGAAATCACAGAGAAATAAAAATTTTAGAAGAAATACGATTTGTTATATACATGTTGCTCACACATAACAATTTACACCCACGCATACAGGAATGATTTAATTAATTATAGTACTTTAACTACCTTAATGCTTGTTCCATTTCATAAAATCAATCTAAATTAATTTAGTAAGTAAATCAACAATAGGTTTGTAAAGGACTAATCTAAATTCTCAACATTGTACAACACCGACTGGTGTATATTTTTTACATTTTGAATAATATCACATATAGTAGTTATATTCACATGGAATATTTTAATTATATTTTGATGTACGCATTAAAAAGTCTAAAATCTTTAGACTTTTATATGGATCAATAAGTCTTTTTATACGTATTATACATTGAGTTAAAGGAAAAAGTGTATTTATGTAACATTTTATTAATAAGAGAAATATATTTAAATACTTAATCACTACTTTACTTAAAAACTGGTTTTATAAGAATTTTTTGTTCAAATTGGTAGTCTCTTTGTAGAAAAAGCAATTTGTGAAGAAAAAAAAGCAAATTTAATGGAACTACTATATTGCTGATCTGTGTTGTCTCATTAGATCCATACTGTGACTTTATTTTTGATTTTACTATAATGAATTTTTATGAGTAATATTGCTATAAGTAGACGAAGTTATAAGAGAACTTTTCACGCAGAGCAAAGGTACTTCTTCCATTCTACTTACAAATTAACAAACAGTAGGAAAAACTTCATGGACTAGAGGATCCGACAGAATTGTAATATACAATATAAATATTATTTCCACAGGATTCGAAATCGTTGTACATTGTGCAAAATGTTTTCATTAAGTGAAGGAACTACTTATGCTTTTAAAATCTACCTGCATGCATTCTTTCAGTACGATCCTACTCATAGTAACAAAGAGGTATAGACTGATCGACATACAAGTGTAACAATGACAGGATACCTCTAATTGATGAAGATTGGGAACTCACTACGAGGTAAGAAGTTTTTTTATAGAACTTGACCAAATAGCATTTAATTGCTCTACAAGACCATTAGCAACGATCGCGCTAAATGGTCATTTAAGCGTACCTTCACGAAATTTTGTTTCTCCACCACGAAAATTTCATTTTCGGGCTTAAGTATTGAAAGCTGATGACTGTTTGTGGAATCAACGATAAGATTGGTAAAAAATTTCCGCAGCTTTGACTTTTTGGTTCATCATCTAGCGGTTCTGTTACAGTTTCGCTCATAATATTATGATGAGGCGTGGAGTACGGATACGGTGTTGAAAGTGGATTACACGTAATATGTACCTCCCCCATATTCCATTTATTTTTTGTATCATTTGAATCATTTCCTTGAGTCATTTCCGAAGGACATAAAAAAGGTACCTTTTTATCTGTGGATGTGATGGAACAATTAGAAATATTAATTATACGATTTTCTATTGTCGGAACATTACTTTTACGATGATTAGGTACAGTACGATCTAAAGCAGAATTTGATGAATTCATTGATTTTAAAGATGTCTTTCTATAGACTTTGGATCGCGTAATGGGTTTAATTGTTAATTGTGGTGACGATACTGATCGTACAGAGTAGCAATTAGTACCTCTATTAATATCCATGTGATTTTGTAGAGGGTGACAATCATTACTCTTTGTATTTAAGCACATATTTTTTGTAGACACATCAGGATTGATGGATTGAGGTATGGATATAATTACTGGACTCGTGGGTGTTGTAATATTTGATACAGTTTTTCCTTGGGTAATTACAGAATTTTTTATACTGCACTCATTTTGTTTTGTTTCATTATTATGTTTTATATATTGAATAGATACAAGATCACGTTTTTTGTATATATTTGTAGGTTCTAATATACGTTTTATAGATTGATTATGTTTGTTTTCTTCATTTATGAAATTGGAAAAAGAAAAGGAAGTTTGAGAAAGGGTGGAGGTATTAGTAAGCGCTTCATTTGTTCCTATTTGGTTAGGACCGAATGAAGCGTCCATGAACCCTCAGCTTGGGAATCTTGAGTAAAATGCACAGGTCAAATCATAATTTTTAAAACGACAGTATTGAACATCTGTACGTAGCCAGTCGCCAGAACATTTCAAATAATCAGTTTGCTCCAAATCACGTGGACAGCTAGCAGCTATTGATTCTTTGTTAGCAAAAATGGTTACAACAAATTTTTTCGGTTTAAAAGTGTTCAGTACACGTCGTATTATTTCCTCATATGATGTTTCTGGAATGTTACTCTCAAACGAAACATACGAAAACTCTGGCTCTGGTGTAATATGAATAGTCATGTAATTTCCCTGTAAAATATACAAATTATTTTAATATCAATTAGTAATTGTATTTTTACTGTACAAATTTTTAACTTTTCATTAAAAGACTTACATTTTTAGATATTCCATTCATTGAATAGCCACAAGGTTCAAACAAAAAATCATCTATTATCATGTTTGGAATAAGTTTATCAATTCCTGACTTTTGAGTTGCTTCATCTGCAGAGGAACATACATCTCTGGTAAAAAGAGCCATTACTTCTGGGTCTAAATGAGTCATAAGGATTTCCAGAGTTTGATCTGGTTCTGAAGGTTCATCCACAGATTTCTCTCTATTCAAAGTGTATAAATACCAACAATCAGAATCTACAGAGCCCAAACAGTAAGCTTCTCCAGCTAGACAAAAAGATTATAACAAATTAAATTTTGTTTGAACATTTTTTTCCATAGCAATAATACCCTTCGTTTTACATAATATTGTGAAATCTAACTATGTAGAAATAAAAAATATAGTTACCAGGAAAGAATGTATCAAGCAAAGCAACTTCTTCTTCAAATGCTTGATGTGGAGATATTTGCAATTCCGGTTTCTTGTAATTTTTCCGTGAATAAAATACATTCTGAAACAATGCTAATTATATAAAATCTGCATTTTCTATTTTTATATTTTATGAAAGAGACAAATAATTTAATCATATGAAATATCAAAATGAAACTAATTACAATATATATTCAGAAATGCCATTGGATGTAAAATATTAAATTAGAAATAATTTTGGACAAATGTATTTCATGTACTGTATCATGAACAAGAGAGATCAATAAACCAAGAGGTAGAGATGTATCCTGTATACTAGAGGTTTCCTATATATAGATACATTACTTATCCATGCACTAGGTCAAGTTATATAGCTAACAATAAGTATTTTCAACTTCCATTAGTTTGTACTAAATGGTAATTGTTATAAATAAAAATTATAGTATCAAAAGGTATTCACTGTACTTATAGTACAACTGCAAATGTTAAGTAATGTTTTCACAACAAAGTATTTCATACACATGTTAAGTGTATGAACATTTCACTTCATATAATTAAATCAAATACAAATAAATAATTCCTTTATCAGTTCCTTTAATTAATTACAAAATTTTCTAATGCCACCTAAATA